AATCCCTCCTTTTTTAAAAAAAAAGATATATTTTTATTTATTTCAGAGAAGAAGAGAGAGGAAGAGATAGAACCATCAATGATGAGAGATAATCATTGATTGGCTGCCTCCTGCATGTCTCCTACTGGGGATCAATCCCGCAACCCTGGGCATGTACCCTTGATTGGAATCGAACCTGGGACCCCTTGGTCCATAGGCCAATGCTCTACCCACTAAGCCAAACCAGTTAGGGCTGAATCCCTTCTTTAGATCCCTTCCTCTACATTACACCAATGCATGCCACTCTGCCTGTTGATTCAGAAACAGGAGAATCCCCAAGTATTCAGGTAGCAGTCTGGATCTCATGACTCAAATGGTAGGAAGTTTGCACACCAGCCTGGACCTGTTGCAGAGCCTTCTCTTGCACTGGACCCCACTCAAAACTAGTGGTTTTTCAGCTCATTTGGTACTTGAGCTGGAGTGCCACATCCATATGAGAAATATGTTACCTCCCAAATTCAGAGGCCAAATAGACACTGTGCCTCGTTTAGGGTTGTAGGAGGAGTCAGATGCAACAACTTATCCTTCATCTAGAAGGGCTATTTCTACTTGCCTCACACCAATGGATCCCTGGAAATTTCACTGAGGTAAAAGGTCCATGAATTTTAGTCATATTTATTTCTCACACTCTGGCATACAAATGTCTTACCAATAAGTCTTGAATAGTTGTTACTTGTTGCTCTCTAGGTCCAATCAACATAATGTCATTATGTAATGGGCCAGAGTGTAAGGGAAATGCTAGCTGGAAGCAAGCTGTGTTTGGTAGACCTTATGTATAGGGTGGAGAAAAGGCATTGGCCAGGTAAAGAGCTGCACACCAGGTACCAGGGAATTGTTAATTTGTTTAATCAATGTAACCACGTCTGGTATAGCAACTACAATTGGAAGTACCACATGGTGATTGTTGCTTTGACTCTCCATGCCCCACCTTGACTTTGCCAATTGGTGCAATTATTTGATTCCTGCCACCCTGCGATCCAATTACTCCTATTGCATTTAGGTTTCTCAATTCAGTGACTTCAGTTCCCACTGTGAAATCTGGTATATAAGAAGAGTGATCGCAAAGCTTTTTAAGGATGCTGGGGCTCCTCTCACACATTTATTTCTTACTGGTGAAGGGTATTTCTTCTGGACTCTTTCAGTGTGATAAGTAGGTCTTAAATGATAAATCCACTTTAGCATCCCTAAGCCTTTGAATCCCTTTCTCTACCTTAAACCACAGCATGTGCAGCATTTCCAATTCACTCACAGTGGGTCGTCTTTTGATCTATTTTTTAATCAACCAGCCAAAGAAACTGTTAGAGTCCTTTCTAATGCCCCAAGCCACATAAAATATCAAATGCAGAATTTTTCTTAGTGAGCCATATCAATAAACTCAGCCTGATCTCACTTTGTGTTCCTTCTGCCATTGTCCCACACCCTTAGATTTCTGTGTGCATAAATTAGATATCTTTTGGAGTATAAGGTACCTTTTCATTGCATCTCACCTTTGGGACTTGAATCTAGTTCTAGGTCTAGAAGCAAAGATGGATGGGGGTTGTGATTGGTCCTGAGGAGAACCAACATAGTCTTAAATGGCAACTACCTCAGGAGAAGCCATTACAGTTTTCTTAGGCAAAGTAGAGTTAATCCCTTCAGATGGAGGTGGAAAGGCCAATATCACTGTGCATTGAGAGATCAATGCCACTAAAGGTGGGAATGCTACTGTCACTGGGGGTGGGAAGGCCAAATCTGCTGGGGGTGGGAAGATGTCTTCAACTGGTGCAGAATACTCACCAAAATTGAGTGGCTCATTAGAGTCTTCATACACCTCCCCATCCCAAAGTATAATCCCATTCTTTCCCAAGAAATGCCCTCACTTTATCAATAGATACTGTGGGAGTTCAACTTGCATTGTAATTCAGCAAGTCCTAGGATGAGGTTCTGTATTTGATTTGCAAAATTTCAGGCTAAAGGAAATAAGGTTCCTTTGGGATACATATAAAGCTCTTACGTCATTTATGTAGCACGTGAGCTGGGAGTTTGGATCCCTGAGCTTATCTTTTTATTTTGCCACTTTGTCAGCAATATTAGGGGCAATCATTCAATGTAATTATTTTTGTTAATTTTCAAAAAATGTTTGAAAATATCATATAAAATATGAACTATCTCCTTGCTTCTTATGAGTAATTGATTAGAAGTAGCCAATGCAGCTATTTTGCATATCTCTATAAATAGTTCACACTGTGAGCTATCAGTACTCACTTTACTATTGAAAATAGAATCATTATAATTTTAAAGTCTAATTAGATTAAAGAATAATTCTAGATTCTTGGTACCAAAACTTATATTAGTCAGAGTTTACAGACACAGAAGCTATAGGAGATAGATGATTAGATAGATAGATAGATAGATAGATAGATAGATAGATAGATAATGAGAAATTGCCTTATCCAATAGTGGAGGCTGAGAAGTTCTATGATCTGCCATCTGCAAGCTAGAGATCCAAGAAAGCTGATGGTGCAATTCAGGCCAATTTCAAATGCTTGAAAACCATAGGAGTCTAATTCTAGAACTCGGCTGACCTTCCCAAAGGGAGCCCCTCAGGATGTTCCTAAAGGCCTGGATCAGGTATACTGAGGTAATGATAGGCAGGCAGGAGAGGGCCAGAGTATACCTAAGGCTTAGCTTCCTGAGATTGTCATCATATATGACTTTTCTGAAAAGGAGTTTCCATACCTTAGCAATATTAACTACCTTTATCGCTATTAACTACCTTGACCACAAAGTCCAGAATAATTAAACTTGCTTTTTTTAATATTATGATATAGTTTCTTGTTAGATATTTGATATTACCTTCTTTGAGATATAATTAACTTTTAATGTGCTGATATCTTTTTAATTCAATCAGACTGTTCAATAAAAACAAAGACATTACTTCATTCCTGGCACACAGTTCTCTGTATCTCCCAAAGCCCTGCCCAGTGCAGCCTACTCTCCTGTGATCACAAATATGAGAAAATACTGTGGATATTAGAGAGCCCTGTATAGACATTAGTAGCTGTTAGTACAGTATTAATTGATGTTGTAGGTAATCTAATAACTACCCTTATTTATGGTATATACTCTCCTCCAGGAACATGGCTTCTGGTTAAAATTGTCCAGGCTCCCTATAGATGCCCTGAAATCTTCCCAGAATTTCTAGGACTTCAATCCTACAAGATTATCTAAGGAAAATTCATTACACTCTTCACTGAGAAGAGATGATATTAAAAATTAATGACCAGTTCAGTCCTCTGGGATGTAATATAATTCAGGGTAGGGGAGGAGGTCTGTCACTTTCTTTTTCAAGGGCAATTCACAACAACACTTTGAGTGGAATAAATCCCTGAAGCTTGATGTTCTTCTCCATTATAGAACATGAGCGTTGACAACATCTCTTAAAAGTAGCAATATTTCATCTTAAATTAGTGCATGTGTTTGTGAAAGAAAAGAGGTAGTGTGTTGTAAGACCTACACAGATATTCATAACATTTACTCCCATGAATTTCACAACTAAAACTCTTAAAGAAATAGCTCAATGGAAGCAAAAACTAATGGAATGGATATATCTTACTAGTGCCTTATCTATGATAAAAAGAATAATTAAAAACAATTTACATGCCCAATATTAGGGAAATGCTTAAAGAAATTATATTATACTAGCCAGAAAACACATTAGAAAGATATTCAAATTTAGCATTTTAAAATCTAAACATGTACATGGAAAAATGTTTATGCCATAAGTCAAGTTTAAAAAAAAAAGCAGAATAGAATATTTGTGCTCAGTGTATGTTTATACATGAATGACAGTAACATTTCCCAAATGGAAAGAGTTGTTTCACTGGGTAAAGATTTATGTTAAATAAAGAACACAGGTTTGGGATTAGAACAAAGTATGAGTTCCAACTCCGCCATACATTGTGTGACAATGACAAATTATGGAATCTCCCTAAATATCCATTTTCTTATTAGCTAAGATTTTTTGGTAAAAATCAAATCCATTTAAAAAGCCTATACTGTATATAATGAACTCAGCACCATTATTTCCCTTCTTCTTTACTAAATATTTGAGATTTTCTTGAAATAAGAAATTTTATTCAAGTGGATGATTTTTATAGAAATTTCAATTTTCCTGTTTTTGACCCAAATAAAATTTTCAGTAGGCTATTCTAAGTTAATAATGTGATAACTATTCTGTAATTGGTCAATGATCTTTATATTTGAATGGATTTCAGCAAGATATAAAATATCCTGGATTGAAGGTCAATTTCTATATACAATTGAATATATAAAGCTAAGAATGGTATATAAATTATGATGATTTATTTTGTGTCACGGGATGCCCAAATAAAACATTATTTCTGGATGTATCTGTGAGGGTGTATCCAGGTGAGATTAGTAGCTGGATTAGGGAATTATTAAAGGTGGGCTGGCTGACTTCTTCAGTGTAGGTGGGCATCATTCAATCCACTGAGCACCAAAATAGAGAAAAAGTTGGAGAACAAAGGAATTTATTCCTTTTCAGCTCTTTTTACTGCCTCAGTATTTGAGTTGGGATATCTCATGTCATCCCATGTGATTTTATCTGGCTCTTAAACTGGGATTTAATACCAATTTCACACATCCTTGGACATCTCTAGAACTAGACCCTTTTAGCAACTTGTGAGCAGAGGGCTGTGCCCAATGATTCTATACCACTCTGGAGCAAAAGACTTCTCCTGTTCCAGAGCCATCCACATGTAAGAACTTTACTCAGGTCAGAGGGTGCAAAGTATCAAGTTATAAGAATGGACAGTGAAAGGACTCGGTGATTCAGGCAGACAAAGTATATCCATTCATTCTATAAATACTTATTGGAACCTACAAGTATCTGGCACTGGGTGCTTATAATCGAGATATAAAGGAAAAATTGGTAAGCAAGACCACCAAAAACGACTTACCCTGGTCAGTAGGTGGTTAGCATCAAAGCCAGATCTTCAACCCAGATAATCTGACTGACAATCCATTTTACTCAAGGGTCCATGAAGACATTTTTATCACCTTTGCCTTATTGAAGTTTTCAGTCTTTTGCTCTGAAAAAAAATGGTGGAAATATTTCTCAATGCACAAGTAGTTTTAATCTTTCTTCTTATTATTATTATATTCCAAGATTATAAGTTCTTTTTCATTTAATATGTATCCTTCAATGAAATGAACTTGAGTAACAGGTACTTAAGTATCTACAATGTTTCACAAACTATTACAATGCTTCAAATAATGGTAAAAGTACTAAAGTTGTGTTGTTTAAGATAGCCACATACGGCCAACTGATTTAAATTTAAATTATATAAAATTAATTATTCAGTTTCTCAGTTGCACTAACTACAGTTCACATGTTCAAAAGCTACATGCTGCCAGTGGCTACCATATTGAACAGCACAGATATAGAACATTTCCATCATTGCAAAAGATCTGTTGCAAAGTATTATATTAAAGCCATGAACCACTTCCTACTCAGTATTGTAAAGAATGAATTAACTTGCAAAATATTTTTTCAACACATTTGGCCTTGAGTAATAGATATTTACAAAAGGACATGCAGGAAGAGAGATCTTACTGAGAAGCAGTACAAGAGGGATACAATCATCTTGCATTCTCCTTCTTCCCTATTACAAGATTAAATGCTTAAATGGCATTATTTAAATACTTCAGATACTCAAAAACTTTCTCTCCCTATAACCAGAGTTTGAAAAATTTTCCATAAGTTTTGTGAAATGGTTCATTTACATTAAAGATTCACTATAGTACTCATTCTCATGCACATATATTAAATATGAAACAAATAAACAGTACATGCTAAAGAAAACACATAAGATTTTTATAGGAAGGAAAATTATTTCCAAGTGGGTATTCAAATAAAGAACCAGAAAAAAAAGATACAGTACTTTTAACTACAAATAATAAATTGTCCACATTCCTTTTTCAAAATTAGAGAATTTCAGAGAAAATCATAAAAGCATAAAATATTTTTAATTAACACATTTATAGTAGTAAAAATGTAGAAAACCTAAATGGCCATCAATTCAACATTAGCAAAATAAAATAA